TATTATTATTATTATTATTATTATTATTATTATTATTATTATTATTATTATTATTATTATTATTATTATATAATACCACTTTTCCCCACCTTCAAATGAAATTCACTATTTGTCTCCACGTCTTTCAGATCCAGAAGATGTTGACTGCAGCCCTCCTCTTCACCATGTGAGTTTTATCTGGGAATAATTTCCTTTAACTGTAATGAAACTTAACATCTGAAATTATACTCTCTGTACTTGTTTTGGTTTTTTTTAAATTTTGCAAAGGGTTTCTTATTTTTCCTTTGAAGCTAGACGTTTTATTAGATAAGGAAAATAGTGGGTGTTGTTTTTTTGTTTTGGAATATTGAGCTGGCCCAATTTTGATTGTTTTGATTTACATTTTAGCCTTTTGTGCAGGCCTTGGAGGATACATCAGCCAAAACATTCTGAAATGAAATCATGAGCACCTTGGCTGAATGGTGCTTATTCGGAGCCTTTTCATTAGGAGTCAGCAGTTCAGTTTCTGTGATTTTGGAGAATTGAAGGAAAACCATTTAAGGAAAATTCATGGTGGTGATGCCTTTCTCACTGATGAGAGTTTTCATCTGGAGAGGAAGTCACCCCTTGAGGTCATTTAGTGACGGGGCCTGTCTGGATGTAAATGGGACTACAGGGCTTGAGTTATGAAGTGAATCACTGCAGCTGTTAAGTTAGTAACACAGTTGTAAAGTGTCGTAAGTGTGAAAAACAGTCATAAGTCCCTTTTACGGCGCCGTTGTTATTTCAAACGGTCATTAAACAAAACGTTGTAAGTCAAGGACTAACTATGTATTTTTTTTCTTATATACAGGAGACCAGTTCAGATGAGAAAGGTCTGGAGGCAGGACACTCCATCAGTGACGGGAGCCTGAACGTTTCTACCAACAGCCGAGAAAACATCATTGACGTGGCAGAACACACCAAAGATTCTGGGGAAGACCGAGAAGCCATCAGCTTCGTTGATGCCCTGAAGATACCTGTGAGTGTGGCCCTACCTGGGCGCCAAGCTGTCAAACATTGTTGGCTAGAGAGAAAGCCAAAAGAATGGACGTCCCAAAGATGCTTTTTCAGGAGGCAACTGGACTTTCTTGTTAATAATAATAATAATAATAATAATAATAATAATAATAATAATAATAATAATAATAATAATAATAATAATAATAATAATAATAATAAAGTTGGAAGGGACCTTGGAGGTCATCTAGTCCAACCCCCTGCTCAGGCAGGAAACCTTATACCATTTCGGACAAATGGCTGTCCAGTCTCTTCTTAAAAACTTCCAGTGTTGGAGCATTCACCGCTTCTGGAGGCAGGTTGTTCCACTGGTTAATTGTTCTCACTGTCAGGAAGTTTCTCCTTAGTTCTAGGTTGCTTCTCTCTTTGGTTAGTTTTCATCTGTTGCTTCTTGTCCTGCCTTCAGGTGTTTGGGAGAATAGCTTGACTCCCTCTTCTTTGGGGCAGCCCCTGAGATATTGGAACACTGCTATCATGTCCCCCCTCGTCCTTCTCTTCATTAAACTGTCTTCTTTGAAGACATTTTTCTTCTCATCCAAGAAGCTTCTTCAGCTCTGACTGGATGGTGGGGAAAGGAAGGGTTTATATTCCTTGCAGACTGTTGTTCACTGTTGAAGACAGGCGCAGGAATCTGGGGATGAGTCTGTGTTGTCTGCAAGGAGTATAAATCCTTCCATCAGTCAGAGCTGAAGAAGCTTCTTGGGTGGGAAGCAAAACGTCTTCAAAGAAAAACAACAAAGTCCAGTTGCCTCCTGAAAAAGCATCTTTGGGACAACTGTGACCTGGATGACTGAGAATCTCCAGAGACATCTGAAAAAATGGATGCCCAACTTGCAGTAGTGGGGTTAGCAGCCTAGACGCCAGTTAGAATCCCCAATGACATCAAAGTGAGATCAGTGTGTCGTGGCATCTTCATGATGCAAATGATGTAGTTAAAATAGCTGCATGCTGATGTCATGACCTGGGGATTTCATTTGCTTCCCCACCAACACCTATGCATGACAGTTTGATTTTGGTCTAAATCAAGTGCAGAGGGTATGCTTAGCCTTTCTCTCCACACACAGTACAGACTCAGCTCTCAACCATCTTTTTCTTACTTGGGATTACTCCCAGCAGGCAAGCAGTTTAAAAGGATCATGCCGGCATCTTTAGTACAGTGGATCTAATAGCAACTGCAGTGCTACTGATGATTTTGAACCAAATAAGATATTCACTCTCAGTGAATGGCACGGTGGCCTAGAGGTGAAGACACTCGCAAAGAGAAAATATTTGCTGAGAACTCTACATAGGCAACAGGAAGGGGATCCAGCCAGTAAACGCTCAGCTCCATTCAGTCACCCCGACTCCACTCCAAAGGAAGGGATTACACGGTCGTAAAAAGAAAAAGAAAAAAATTCATTCTTAGCAAGTTTCTCTTGGGGGTTGAGTGCAAGTCAGAGGAGGGAATTTAAATATGATGGGGGGCAAAAGGTTGGATCCCTTCTCCTCTGTGGTTGTCCCGATTTAAATTAGAGCATCTCTTAACAAAAATAAATGAATCAAAGAATCAAAAACTAGTTTGGGTTTTTCCCCACGTTTTGTTCCCCAAATTAAAATTCAAAACTCACAAGCTTCATTTAAGAGTGGTGAAACAGGAAATCAGGAAAGTTAGGTCATTGATCTTCTGTCCTACATTAGATCTTGCTTTTTTCTGCCTCCCAGATGATTTTGAGTATTTGCTGATGACTAATTCCTCTCTCCCTCTGTCTCTCTCACCATTACAGGGAGTGATCGAATTTTCCTTCTGCCTTTTGTTTGCCAAACTAGTCAGCTACACCTTTCTCTATTGGCTGCCTCTCTACATCGTGAACGTTGGTGAGTCAGGATCAAGTTACTTCTGATCCCCAAATGATAATACCGGTCCACGAAGTTTTGACCTACTTAAGCAAGTTTGATTTATGGTGTTTCCAAGGACTGTTTTGACACATAGCTGCCCAACGTATCAAATTTAAGCAGTCGGGTGTCAGCTAAATTTAATGGCACAACTGCAAGACCTTGAAAGCTTGTTGTGTCAACTCTAAATCAGGATTAAGAAATTCAAAAAGGAAAAAAAAACACAGGGTCTATCTCCTAGCATGGAAAATTCCAGACTCTGCCACAATTATCACACGGTCTTGCTTATTTTGCACCCAACCCCTCCCTGGGTGCAGAATAAGCAAGTTAAATGCGACCCCTGATTGGCAAAATATTGGCCAACACGTTGATAGAACATTACATGAGAAAGGTAATGTTCTAGTGCTACATGAATCCTTGTGTTCTAAAGATTTTCAAGTCAACTGTTTTGGAACACACAGAGCTTCTTTAGATCCAAATAAGTTGGAGATTTATCCAGTTTACTATTGCTGAGGTTGAATGGCCATGACTCTCCAAATTATCAACAGTAGTCTTCGCAGTACTGTTAATGAAGATCCTGTTTTTTTAAAAAATTGGGTTCTGATGCATGCAATGCCTTGTCGCTGCATGGTGCTTCAGATCCAAAGAGAAAAATGCTCTTCAGAGCATGTAGGGTTGCACACATAGTATTTATCAGACTTGGCTACTTTTGAGGATTTGTGAAGAAATGTGTTTCCCTGAAGACTCCTTTCCACCTTGAGTCATACATATTGCACAGCCCAACAAAGCATGTTCTGTGTCCTGGGTCGTTGACCATCACTCATTCTTGTTTTCTCCTTTCCCTTTCTGTTGTTGTTGCAGCCCGCTTAAGTGCAAAAGAAGCTGGAGACATGTCAACTCTGTTTGATGTTGGCGGCATTATTGGTGTGTTGGATTGATTTCATTGGATCTTTCTTTGCATTTTTGTATCAGAGTCTGGGAAGAGAGGAGATGTTGAGGGCGTGAGTTGACAGCCTAGAGCAGGGGTCTCCAAACTTGGCAACTTTAAGACTTGTAGACTTCAACTCCCAGAATTCCTCAGCCAGCCAGGCCTAGAGCAGGGGCCCCCAACCCCTGGACCACGGACCACTTCCGGGCCGTGGCCTACTTGGAACTGGGCCATGCAAGAGACAGACCAGCATGCACGTGTGCAGCTCCACTTGCACTAGAGGTGGGCTAGTGTATATGTGCATGCACACCGGCTTGCACGGCCCAGTTCCGTTCGCTCCCCTTCCATCTGGGCCACCAAGCCACAAATGTTGGGGACCACTGGTCTGGAATAGGCAGTGGCAGGAAGTACTTTGTAATCTTTGGGTGGACTCTTCAGTGATTTGCAGATCACATCACGTTTTTTTAAACTCCGAGCAATCATCAAACTCCTTCCCTGTCTTTAAGTTTAGATTGCTGAAATGAAAATAGGGCTACCAGATGTTGACTGGAAAAATCTGGACTAACACTAGATGTCAGCCAACAGTTACGCTATTTTTGTGTTTCTAATGCCACTCCATTTTTGCAGGCAGATCTAGTAGCTCTAATGGAAAGTAGCTGGAAGGAGGAAAAGCTGGAATGAGCTTTTGTGTAAGAGGCTTGGGAGCTCAGTTCAGTTTGGAAAAGAAAGTTCTGGGTTGAGTGTAGGATCGGCACCTGCCTTCCTGTTCGTTCTTAGCTTTGGCATCTACTACTATGAAACCATACCTTTTTGTCATGCAGGGGGCATCATGGCTGGTCTCATCTCAGACTACACTGGTGGCAGGGCCACCACTTGCTGTGCAATGCTTATCCTGGCAGCTCCCATGGTGAGTATTCCCATATCACCTTCAGCTTCATGAGTTCTGTGTCATTTTGGGAGGAGTAACTACCTAAGAAGATCTGTAGCTTCATGCAGTATTCTGGTTGACCACTGATGGAAAAGCCAGGGTTGAATTAAACAAAGATTTCACCTAGTTTAGACAGTTTTTATCTACTGTAATCTGATTTGTCAATAGTTTGGTAATTTCTTTTACCAAATAAGCCATAGTTGGCCGGGATTGTACAACAAGCTAAGCACAATTCAAGTGACCTTGGCCAATATTTTAGAGGCCAGGTAGCTTTTTCTAAGCCCCTGTCCTGCTTCTATGCCAATCCACCTTAGGGCGTCTTGATGTTTTGAAGCAAAGTTCCCACAATCCCTTGTCTTTGGCCATGCTACTTGAAATTAATGGAAAGTCCAAAGAATCCCAGATGTTTTATGAAGTTGGTATTATCAAAAATAACTAGCAATATAAAAAGATTCAGTTGCCACCACCTGTTTGAGAAGGATGCCATGATCCAGGTTCCTGGTGTTTTTTATTTTTTATAGGTAAATTCTTACTTGTTGCTTTGCTTTTGATTCCAGCTTTTTTTGTACAACTATGTTGGCCAAAATGGACTAGGTACATCCATAGGTAAGAATGCATTACTTTCTGGAAATGTTTTGCTTACAAATCCATGTAAACTTCCCAACAGAAAATTGGGATTGGTTCTCACATTACCTTGACCTGGAGAGCAATATTTATTGTTTCATCCAGACAGCCTTTTTGTGTGTAAGCCAAGGACTACCTGTCCTTAGCTGGGAAATAACCTGGTTAGGTTATAGAGCTGACATTTCTTTTCTTTTTTTCTTTTTATTTAGCAATGCTCATTATCTGTGGTGCCCTTGTCAATGGACCCTATGCTCTCATTACAACTGCTGTTTCAGCTGATTTGGTGAGGATGAACTTGTTCTTTATTCCCTCCTACTACCTTTTGGCTTGTCATCTGAGTCAACTCTGGCAACACGAAACTTTTAATTCACTCAGGTGCAATTTTGCAGCCCTGTGTGTGTGCATTTGAGGGTTTTTATCTCACTTACCCCCAGGAGGGAGATGATACTTCGCACAACTGTAATTTAGTGAATTAAAACGGTGGCCAAACTTTGCATCGGTGTAATGTGTAGTTCATCCCTCATTTGGCATCAAATGTGAAACACCCTGCCTCCTGATATTCATAGTAGTGCCTATATATTTCGCGTCTTCATCTGCTTTAAAATTTCTGGGCTTGGACAGACTCAGTGGAATAAGATTTCACAAGCACAGCACAGTGGTTCGTTTGTTTGGGCACAGCTAAGACATTTCTTTCCATCCAGTATAAACATGACACCTTGGATCATTGAAATCTCAGGAGAATAGAAATTCTTAGCTGAAAGCAACCCATAGAAGTTGAAACTTGGAAGGGATTTGGAACTTTGGAAAAGACCTGATTGAAAGCAATTCCATTTATCCAGCAGATATTTTGGAAAGGTTTCCTGATTGCAAAATTTTCCCCTTCTCCATAGTAACTGTTCAAGTAAAGAAACCTTTATTCCTGTTTTTGGCTGAAACTGATAAATATCTGGCTGGTTTTTATTGCAGCAAGAATTGCAATTGTCACTAGAAGCTGTAAAAGACAAAACATAGAAAAACAAAGAAATTACACTATGTAATAAATAAATGATCAGCTTCTGCAACTTTTTTGCACCCTGGGTCCTTCATACAGGATTCAGAAGTCTTTCCTTTACCATTCCTGAAGTAAACTAAAGCTGTTTTACACCCGTGGGCAAATTAGGAAGATAAAATGTAGGGTATTTTGGAGCTCTGTGAAATTGCACCTGTACAACACTTATGTAGTCTGTTCAAGTACTATTTTTCCTTTGCATTTGTTTATTTGTTTATTTATTTTTCTTGTCCTCTGCAGGGTACTCATGAAAGTCTCCAGGGAAATGCAAAAGCTCTCTCCACAGTCACAGCCATCATTGATGGAACAGGATCTGTGGGTCAGTAGGCAGATGGCTGCCAATTTAATCCTTGATTGGGTTTTAAGAAACTGTGGTTAGGCTTAGTAAAGATTTCAGTAAAATTGAGGGGTTTTTTTCTTCTGTCTCCAAGGATCGTTAAAAATGAGAAATGGATAGTAACCCTTCCCAAGAGTCTTTGCTTCCTACAGATAGTCCTCCAATTACAACTCAAATTCATAGAACATCAAACCTGAGTCATAAATAGCTCTGGGGCAGTCTGTCATAACTTTGAACAGTTGTTAAGCAATCGGTTGTAAGTCAAGGACTACCTGTACCTTGCTAATACAATTGGATCCATTTTGGGTCTAAATCCACCCTATGAATGGCTGGCACAAAGTCCTCCTTGTCTGGAATGTTCAAAGATCTGCACATGCAGGGATGTAGGGCGACACACAGACTGACACCCTCTCCTGCAGTTGTGTCTGCATCTGAAAGAACAACATCTTGAACACATTAACTTGTCTAGTTGAAGCTATCAAGTAACTCTCTGCATTAAAAATTGCTGTCCTGATTGGATACCACCCAGAAGCTTCCCAAAAGCATCTATCTCATTGTCCATCCTTTCCTTCAGAATTCTAGCTGAGGACCTTGTTCCCACCTGGCAGGTTATGTCATGGTCTGTAACCACATGCTTGTTATTTCAATTCTCCTTCTTGCCCTCCTTGGGGACAGCTACTAACTAAGAACTACCAATTCCATTTTGCTAAAAGGTGTGGACTATCTAAATCAGGGTTCCCCACCCTATGGGCCGTGGCCCGGTCCCAGGCCATGGGCTCTTGGACAGCAGGCTGCAGAAATGGCTGGCCGGTGTGCACACATGTGGGCGCACATTCCCTCCCACTTGTGCTAGCGCCCACGGCCCTATTTGTGCATGCACACAGCCGCAAATAGGGCCTCTAGTGCGGTGAGTTGCGCGGACCACTTGCGCATGCATGAATGGGGCCGCTAGCCATGGTGGAGGTTGTGCGGCCATTTGTGCATGCGCACGGCACCAGCCCAAGCTGTGTGCATGAACGGTAAGGTTCTACATTTAGGCAAGAAAAACCAAATGTACAGGTATAGTATAGGGGGTACTTTGCTCAATAGTAGTAACTGTGAGAGGGATCTCGGAGTCCTAGTGGACATTCACTTAAATATGAGCCAGCAGTGTGCTGCAGCTGCCAAAAAAGCCAACACAGTGCTGGGCTGCATTAACAGAGGGATAGAATCAAGATCACGTGAAGTGTTAATGCCACTTTACAATGCCTTGGTAAGGCCACACTTGGAATACTGCATCCAGTTTTGGTCACCACGATGTAAAAAAGATGTTGAGACTCTAGAAAGAGTGCAGAGAAGAGCAACAAAGATGATTAGAGGTCTGGAGGCTAAAGCATATAAGGAATGGTTGCTGGAATTGGGTGTGTCTAGTTTAATGAAAAGAAGGACTAGGGGTGACATGATAGCAGTGTTCCAATATCTCAGGAGCTGCCCCAAACAAGAGGGAGTCAAGCTATTCTCCAAAGCGCCTGAAGGCAGGACGAGAAGCAAAGGATGGAAACTAATCAAGGAGAGAAGCAACCTAGAACTAAGGAGAAACTTCCTGACAGTTAGAACAATTAACCAGTGGAACAACCTGCCTCCAGAAGCGTTGAATGCTCCAACACTGGAAGTTTTTAAGAAGAGACTGGACAGCCATTTGTCTGAAATGGTGTAGGGTTCCTGCCTGAGCAGGGGGTTGGACTAGATGACCTCCAAGGTCCCTTCCAACTTTATTATTATTATTATTATTATTATTATTATTATTATTATTATTATTATTATTATTATTATTGCCATGCCAGTGTGTGTGGCCCTGTGTGCGCGAGCGCGCACACACCAATTTTGAAGCTGCTCTTCTTCCCTCCAGACTGCAAGCCTGAAAAGGTTGGAGACCTCTGATCTACATGACATGAGCTGGCGTTTCATCCGGGCTCCTGGGTCGCTGATCTTTTGCATGATTTCCATTTTCAGGTGCTGCCCTTGGGCCTTTGTTAGCAGGTTTGATCTCCAGTTCTGGTTGGGACAATGTCTTCTACATGTTGATTTCAGCCGATGTTTTGGCGTGTCTGGTAAGTACCTTTTCAGGAATATTCTGCTCCCACTTAGCAATTGTTTAATTAAATGTGAATGGCAAAATGTGAATTCTCTCCCATTGCATTTAAACACACACACACACACACACACACACACAAATTGGGGACCTGCATCACGAAATTTGGAAAGAAGCGATTAATAGAAGACAGTGTATTGGTTTGAGGAGCATGAATGCATTACGTTTATATTAAAACAAATCAAACAAATCAAATCCATTGTAAACTTTTGCACAGACCTATAAAACTCATGGAAAAAGTAATTTTGAGTACGTCTTCTGCTTTCAGCTCCTTTCACGAGTGGTATTCAAAGAAATTCGAGGTTGGTGTGGCTGCTATACAAGAAAAAGAGGGTAAGTGTTTGAAAAAGCCACATTCCAGATGTTGATAACCTGTGTTCTAATACTTTGGTAAAGTTCCGGTACAAAATTCCCTAGATTTTCAACATTATGAATCTCATTTTGCTTTCTGAATTCATGGACACCTAACCCTAACCCTCTAGCCATGAGATAGACAAAACAGTTTTTCATACTGGCTATTTTCCATCCTAAGGGACACTAAGGAACTTCAAAAACCTTCCATATCTTACTAGGTGCATCTGACGCTCTATATCATTATCTCCTAATTGTGTTAATGTTCAGGGTTCAAGCCAGACAGCCAACTGCCCTCGATTCTAGTCCCGTTCCCTGTTTTTACTTAATAATCTGAGGCTGGTGAGCATACTTAGAGGTTTGGAGGTGGATTGCAATTCTGTTGTAAACGGCAGAAGGAAGGACGAAAGGGAAAATGAGATTTTTTTTCCATGCAGCAGGATCATGCTTTCTTGCTCAGCAGTGATCTTACCTTGGCTCATGTTTGTTTGTTTGTTATATTTTTATACTGCCTGTTTCAAAAAAAACAACACCTAGCAGTTCCCATCACACTTCTGTCAACACTCGTTCTCTGAATCTGTTATTAGAAACAGTAGTTAGTTGTTTGTCCATCGATTTCGATGAAGACCTTGACATCTTATGGATTATGGGCCATCAGCGGTGTGTCCGTAGATGGCTGATGAGACCGATGTTAGCACGGAATGTTCTGCCACATACTGAACAGAGAAATGTGGACACTATTGCTTCAGCATTTGCAGCGATAGCATATTGTCCCTCCTTCTTTTTTCAACTCTGACTTCTTAGTTTAGGAGCATCTGATTTGAAGCTAAAATCTTTAAATCAGGGCATAACTTACTAAATGGGCCCTGCTTCCGGTTTAAAGTTAATCCGTAAGCAAAGCTCCACCAAAAGAAAGGCCCTCCCGATATGCAGGTTCTGAGGTTTTGCTTGATAAAGAAATACAGGAAATCAGAAGTTGCCTTCAAGCTTTACGTTTTTATTCATCTGAATAGAGACGGACTCCTCTACATGAGGGGAGCAACAAATGACAAGAAATCCTTGTATTTATTCTTTCTAATTACATAAAGCAACCCATCCAGCAAAGCTGACACACATAAGATAAAGATTTCACCCAGTAAGTCTGGCACACTGTAGATAAGAAGGGAGAAAGCAGAAGTAACTAAACATGTTCCCTTTGGGGTGTTTCCCTAAAGATATCATATGTTCTCGGGTGGGTTAGGACATTGGGTGTTATCCTTGCTGTCCTTTCATGACCCTGCATCTGGGACTCTGCAAGTGACCAAAAAGAGAGAGGGGCCATCTGTACGTATTCACAGTTGATACTGTCCCCTAATTCCTGGTCATCACTCCCTTTGAAGGTCACTTGCCTAAGCAAAGCCAACAGGTGCGGCTCAAAACCTTTGGCAAACAGGAAAGTTCCTATAAGATGTTGCTTGGGTGAATGTTCTCAGAACAGACCAGGATCAATGGGAGTTGTCCTTTTGCTGGGAACAATTAGAACAATCATTGAGAATCATTACTTTAAAAGCAAGGAACCCTGCTGAATATCTTCTGCACACTTTGTTCCACCTTGCTCCCAGAAACTCGAGTCCACTTTATGTTGATTATATTTGCAGGTCAATCACCATTTTTTGAACAGTCATGCTCTGGGGCCATAAATCCCGGTAAGTCTATGTTTCCAAGCCCCTGGCGTACCTTGATAGGTCTCTTGGCTTTTGGTGTCTTTGGTTCCAATAGTTAAAGATTGTTCTTGACTCTCTATACCTTCTTGAAATCTTATTTCTTGAGTATCTGGCGGTGGAGAAAAAAAATCAAAACGTCTGAGAAAGAGCCTTGTACAATGATTAGGGTTCTTGGGCTTTCTGCACTCTTTCCTCAGTCAAACTTCTGATATCTTCTTTCCCTGCCTCTTGAATGCTAAGCCTAAAACATGGATGCGACGCTTGAGTTGGATGTGTGAGTGGCACCGTTTGGCCTTGGTTGGGATCCTGAGAGGTTCTCCCAAGGTCGTTCCCACATACCATTAAACCATCTGAGCAGATGACATTTCTGATTGTATCCTCTTGTGTGTTGCAGCTTTAAAGAATTTTGATACGGTCTGCATTGGCCATAGGAGCCCATCAAGGCAAGAAGGAAGGACAATGCCAAGAGTTTGCTGCCCCCACCCACACAGCTCATGTGGGAGGAATTTATGACGCTCCAATGTACTCCAGAGACAAAACTCTCCTACAAAAGGCTAGCCAGGTCAATCAGTGGCTACACTTTTGGTTTTTAAAATGATTGACGGTGGAAAACGGGGGAAAAAATACAAGAAGAGAAAAAAGAATGGACGTATTTGTGATCCAGGTTGGGTCCCCAAGGCCTTTGTTTTTCTATCAGTTGCCAGATGCATTCCATTTTATTTTTTCTATTATTTTTTTTTAAACTATTAAAAACAGAACCGGTCCAGGGCTCATTTCTCCACCTGGAGGAAGAAACGCTTTTGGTCCTCTTGTAACTGCTGCTTCTTCCAGAGTCCTATTTGCCATTTCTGGAGATGTTTTTATTTTATGCAAAACCACTGCCAAGTCTTTAATTTGAATTAGAAGAACAACCCAGAGAAAAGAGGTTTCCTCTGAAGCCAAACTCTTTTTTTTTACTAAAAGTTGTATGTTAATGATAGCTGTTTCTACTGCAAGGACGTGAAGCTCGATGTAAAATAATACCACGAGCAGAGGCCACCCCATGGTGGCCCGAAAATGGCGCTAATCGCCCATAAACCATCCTTAAACTCAGAAAGCAAAACTTGTGTTCTAGCGGGGAATCACATTTGGAAGGGAAAGGCTAGTGAGTTGCAGAAAGTGAGACACAGCAAGCATTTTTGGGGGGAGGGTCAAACCTGCAGATTTAAAGGACATCACGGAAGGAGGAAATAACAAGCCACTTCCACAACTCTGCCAGAAGACCAAATCATCCCGTTGTCTATTCCTGCTTTACGTCTCCTACAATCCTTGAAATATCTTCAACTTGAAAATCATTGTGATCACACTTGATCCATCGCAACTGATCAATTGCAAGCAGGCGAGGTTGGAATATTCAATATTTCTTCTAAAGGAGTCTCCCAGATCTTTCAGTAAGAAGAAAGCATTACTGAAAGATCTGGGAGACTCCTTTAGAAGAAATATTGAATATTCCAACCTCGCCTGCTTGCAATTGATCAGTTGCGATGGATCAAGTGTGATCAAGACGTCTTGGACCAACTGGATCTAATTTGGACAGACAGGAATGAAAACCACCCATCTTCGTTGAGCCCGACTTGTGCATCTACATCTCTCTTTTTTTCATATCTCACACCAAAATAAGAGAGCTGCTGCTCTTGATGCGTGCAACATGGCCTACATGTATTTTGCTGTAAGTCCTGTTTACCTCGGGGTGCATAATGCTGGTGTGTGTCAAAGTATTCACATTGGATGTTTGGAAGAATAGTCAGCTCAGCAGAATGGAGGTTTCGTTATGATCTGGGATATACTACGTTCCTCTGAGTTTGCTGAAGGTGGCCTCCAGGCTAAAACACCTGTCTCCAGGTCATCCATTGCAAGAGACTCCTTAAGAGTTAGATGTGAAGGGATGCAAGGATTAGGTCTCTATAGAGCCCTCGTTCTTAGAGCCCTCATTGTGCTTTTGTTAAACCTTGTCATCTAATGTTATAGAAAAGAGTTTTTCTTTCCCGGAGAAGAAAATGCTAGTGAAATCCTCCTAGGGAATTGATACAGGGTGCTTTCATTTAACTGAGTTATGAATTGGCCAGGGATGTGTTTTCTCTTTCATTAAGTACAGTCGTTGTATTCTCAGCGGGCTGCAGTTTCTATTGCATCTCTTTCTTTAAGTACTCCCCTCCATCTCTCTGATTTACCCCAAATCACAACAGAAGGCCTCATGAAGGGAATGTCATCCTCCCTTCTAAATTAGGGTGGTTTTTTTTCCCCCAGATTAGAGAGTGAAGTTAACCAAGCAAGCTGCAGAGGAATCACAAGATCATAAGCTGCAGAGGGAATTATACCAGTGTCTGGTATAATTCAGAAGAGAATAAGTTCAACGATGCCAAGTCAAATTGGAAAGTATTTCAGCCCGATAAGAAATACAATGAACTCCACTAGGCAAAGGTTTATGTCATAACAACTCTGCTAGGCTTTAGATCAGAGGTATCCAACCGTAGCAACTTTAAGACCTGTGGGCTTCAACTCCCAGCTAGGTATGGGGGAATTCTGGGAACTGAAGTCCACAGGTCTTAAAAGTTGCCAAGGTTGGACACCCCTGCTTTAGATTAATACAAAGCTCTGGATAGTTTATGTAATGTTTACCATCTTGTATGTAGATGAACTTGCTAGCGATGAAAATTTGTGATGTACTAGTTCCATTCATGTAACAAGTAAAGACTCAACATAAATTTTATTTATACCGTAACCTACTTTGTTCGGATTTGCTGTGGTACAAGACTAATGACCAACTCTAAAGTACTCATTCCTTAACTTGTCTGTGTATTTCAATTTTTAATCTTGGTGGTCTGATTCATAGATTATACCAAGCCTGTCATTTATTTGGTTTGGATATAGCATTTTGAGTGAATTCAGATCTATTGCTTTATTAAGCCTGATTCCACAAGGAATGAAGAGGAGATGGAAGAAGAGGGCCACAAAGACTGTTAATATGTAATTTATTTAAAGCAAATGTGCTAAATAGAAAATGGACCATTGGAGTTCTCTGGTATCTGAGGAAAAACTATTCAGTTTGGAGCAGGAAAAACATTCATTGAATTGTGTTATATTTCCACTAATGTCTGGTTCAAAAAAGGTGTGCCAGGAGGGACGTTTTGGAACTGAAGGATCCTTCCAAATTTTGACCCAGGAGAAAATTATGTTTAAAAAAAAAAAAAAATGTCAAAGAGAGTGGTGAGGACCATCCCATCCTCACTTTTGCCCTGGTTGTCTACTTCTACCTTCAAAATAAATAACTGATAAATAAAGCTATCAATTAAGATCCTTCAATACTGAACACTCCGGATGATCAATCAAATTGTTCCTGTTCAAATTTCAGGTCTTGCAATCTGCAGTACATCAAGGAAAAGAAAGAGAATGGATATTGGATTGGTGGTTCTAACCAAATTCACTAGGTGGCACTGCCGTAACGAGAACCGTCTTAAGAGTTTCGGTAGACCTTCCAGGCTTGTCACCTAAATGCATTTCCAAGTAACAAACATCTGGGAAAAAAAAATCGAACAAGGATTCGTTATACATTGGGTGAAGCGTCCTTTTGTTTTTCTCAAATTTACTCTGAATTAATTTCATTGTGTGTCCCCAAATCCTAGCCCTTACAGAAGACCGTATAACCTTTAAAATTGTCCATTTTCCTTACACCAAAAATACTTTTCTTAAATGTTGATCAAATTCCATACTCTTTTCATCTTCATTAGATAATGCCCAAAATAGTAATCTTTCTTCAACAAGGACTGGCCCCTGGATCATTCATGACTGGCCTTTTCTTCACCTCTTCCGTTCTCTGCAATTTGTTATTTTATTTCTTCCCTTTTCAGTTATAAAATCGTGGTTCCTACAAGATATGCAGGTCAATGGTAGTGTTACAGAGATACTTAACAATCAATCTGAGAAATTCAGTGAAATTAAGCTGCAGAAACAACAGATTCACAAAACGGCTTCATTTTGATCCTCCACACACACAAACACTAAGCACATAAATGTACCAGCAATCACAAATGAAGAATTCATTGTCCTGAGGAGCAATCTTTCAAAATAGATATATTTAAAGAAAATTATTATTATGCCAATTTGTGAGAGTTGAACATATTAGCAATGAAAATTGTGAAAACTTAAACAGGGATACCTTGAGTGACAATTCTCCAAAAGTGCACCTCTTTTGCAGAAATTTTCTGTAGGACTCAGGACTATTTTTCTCCACCCGGACTTTTCATTGCTTCCTTCAGATTAGACCAAATGAAAAAGGTGAATGGATGAAGTGGAAGTGTCCATGGATAAATGGCTTGTTGAATGACCTGCCTATACAGTGGCTTCTGTTGTGGTTTCTTTCAGCAGATGAGGAAGTCTCCAGGACTTTCTGCCTCCTTTCTTGCCTCTTGCTTTCTGCTAGTGTTACGTCTTTGTAGTTCAGTTGTTTACTGGAGTTTGTAGTTTTAATGTAGTGAACATAGATGCAAATGGATTTTTAAAAAGCTCCCTCATTAGAAGTCATCTTGGGGGGGGGGGGTGCCCCAAGATTTGTAAAACAATTGGGTATGTCTAGTTTAACGAAGAGAAGGACGAGGGGGGACATGATAGCAGTGTTCCAGTATCTCAGGGGCTGCCACAAAGAAGAGGGAGTCAAGCTATACTCCAAAGCGCCTGAAGGCAGGACAAGAAGCAACGGATGGAAACTAATCAAGGAGAGAAGCAACCTAGAACTAAGGAGAAACTTCCTGACAGTTAGAACAATTAACCAGTGGAACAATCTGCCTCCAGAAGCGGTGAATGCTCCAACACTGGAGGTTTTTAAGAAGAGACTGGACAGCCATTTGTCCAAAATGGTATAGGGTTTCCTGCCTGAGCAGGGGGTTGGACTAGATGACCTCCAAGGTCCCTTCCAACTTTTTTATCATCATCATCATCATCATCATCATCATCATCATCATTATTATTATTATTATTGTTATTATTATTATTATTATTATTATTATTAACAGACTTCAGAGGAAGCAAAGTCTGAATGGGGAACCCATAGTAGACCGACGAGGATCCAGCATTGTGGTCTATCCCTGCCTCTTAAGAAGAGATTAGACAACCATTTGTCTGAGATGGTGTAGGGTTTCCTGCTTGAGCAAGTATTGGACTAGAACCGGGTTTGTGGACCAGCTTGGGAGGGGGAGTCAGGAGATGGCTCGCCCGCCACTTCCATGGCCTAGTTCCGAAGGGCTCAAGGCCTGGTAGTGAGCCAAGGTCTGGGAGTTGGGGGCCCCTGGCCTAGAAGACCTCCAAGGTCCCTTCCAATTCTGTTATTCCACTTTCGTCATTCCACCTATTTATTTCTTTGTGTTCTGCAGAACACAA